TACACACTATATTGTCATTCATTTCTTTTTTTCTAAATCTCAAATCTGTCACAATCATTTTAAGAATGATTGTGGTCATTTTTCGGATCAAAGCTTTCACATTTGGTTGACCTCAGGAAAATGAAAACAACAAAATAAAAGTTGCCATTTCGGCTACAATAAAGAATCTAGTAAACATAAAATCCCTTTACTAAATGTGGTTAAGTTTTGTAAGCTTGTATTAAATACATGCCTAGTCTTGCTGAGTATTGTCATGTTAGGCCGAGAGTAATACCAATTTAACTGCACCAGGCAATGTCTTCCCCACAGTCACATGGACTTACAAGTAAACAAATGCTCAGAATGCTTGTAAAAAATAAGTATTTATTGCGAAATGGATGTCATTTTGTTTAAATGTGTAGGGGTTTTAATAAATAAGTAGATGCTTCTAAATGTTTATCCTGAGCATTAATGGTAACTAGTACATACCATCTGTATATTAGCTTTTATGTAACTGGATCCTCAGGACGGAAATATCTCTCCATGACTGAAAGCTGAGGAGATTAAGGAAGCAAAGACATATGACAGATTTTGCCATCTTGACAGCTTTTCCTATTCCTTTTGTACTCAAAACTGCTAGGAGGCATTTATCACAGTGATCAGTTTCTATCTTACACCTTCTTATATTAATATAATATCCATGATAAGCCAACCTGGCTGTACTGTGTAGCAGAGCGGTGTACATTTCAGGAATAGATGGACAGACATTCAAATCCTTTGGCAGGCAAAACTGACCCCATATATATATTTCAACTATGCATTTGGAAGTTTGCATCTTCAGTTTCTTTTACAGAAACCCAGTATTGAACACTCTATTAAGCAAATAACAACTACTTTCATGGTCACACTCTAGCCTGCCTTCACCTGCCCTCATGCCTTTCTATTGCCCAATAGGAAGATGTGATGCAGTGGGCTACTGGGCTGAAGGAGGCGGACCAAAGCAAAACCATGTGAATGGGTGCAGAGTGTCCATTGCTGTGACATTCATTTTAAAGTTTTTCGATCCATGGACCCCTGCCAAATAGCACAGCCATGTTCTAGACCTCCACTGCAGGTAAGCAGTACAATTTGGTCTAAGACACACCTCTAGCCTGTTGATTAGGCAGTCAAGGAGCTGCAACACACAGATGAAAAATTGTTGTGCTCTACTTGCATATGTTAAACCGACAGCGGTTTGCCCTGCATCAAAAGCTCCTTATGCTGTTCCTCGTGCTTTCAAATCAAATTCTGCAGCTCAGGACATTTTAGGAAGCTTCAATAAGATCAAGTTATTATATTTTTATAATAGTTGCAGCTTTTCCCTCACTTCGTGTCTGGTGAAACCATTGTTGGGGTCTTTCCGGGCTGCAGTGTGGCTCTGCACTGTCAGAAAATCGGGGGCAGTAGCCCACTAGATGCTTCCTTTGGGTCACAGGAGTACATTAGTGAATCTACTCCTGTGACCCAAAAGAGAACTAAAGCCAAAAAGGAGGTTTGGCTTTAGCTCTCTTTTAAATAAATTACTAGTATTGTATAATGGAACACACTTGGCATGCTTGTAAAAGGTTGTACCTGTGTGGCCGAGTTGACACCCTTTCCTCTTCAAGATGTCTTCAACTGGAGTGTCAAAGATTAACTGAACATTTTGAAGCAGTCCCTGAAGATGTAATTAAAAACTTCAGTCAATATTCAATTTGAACTTGAATACAAAATTCTTTCTACATACAACACTGGCCAAAATACAATTGGTCTCATGGATGAAAATATGCAAAATAACCATTCTTGTCGTCCTTACCAACCAATCAATTTCTACATTCTGTCTACAGCTGTCAGTTAATGCATTTTTTTTTTTTATACCAGAAAGAGATCCTAATTGGCTGCTATGGGTAGCAAGAACAGTTGTTTGTAAAGGTTGAATTCCTTCTGATTTCTTATAGGTGTATACATTTGTGAACATGTCATGGAAATGTGTCCTGCAGTAGACCACACAAACAATTTTGATACCATCTTTGGATTTTAATGCCTCTCTACAGTTGCATATACTTACCTTCCTTTTCATTCCTCCATCAGGAATAAGGAAAGGAAGTCCAGTGTATGCTCTCAATTGCTCTAATGGCTGCTTACATAGAGTTGAAGTCTATCTCTCCACTCCTATGTGAAAGCACTGGACCAAGCACCAGAGAAAAGGGAAGTGAGTTGCAGGCTCCTTCACACCTGTATGAAATCATATGTAAAATTTTGGCATTGTGCTTCTTTTTGTTGTTTTTTTCCAAATAAATTTTTATTGAAGTTAAAAGACAATAAAGTGACAAGTCAGGGCATATTCATAGCACTCCATTGTACATATTAACATTGCATTTATGAATCGTATCCTGGAATCTGGTGTCATCCACCACAGAGGGTTGTCAGGGTGCAGGAGCTTCTTGTAACAAAGACCTGTCTGTCACTGCTCCTTTCGGTCCTTGTGCAGGGTGACTGGTCTTGTATCTGCCCTACTCCTGTAGTTTTTTGTAGGAAGCTTTTAGTTGGTTGGTCTGCTTGTTCTCTCCCACAGCTCTTCTCTTTGGGCTATGTGCAGCATAGCGATTATATCACTGTTATAAGGTAATAATAAATACTGCACACACAGGGGATTTATATATTTTATGGCTATAGACAAATATATTTAAATTAAAGGTTTTGTCCCCAGATTTCTGTTTTAAAAGAGGACTTTTTATGCATTTTTAGTTTCCTTATGATACAGGAATACATTTTGCAATGTACTCCTGTAATCAGAAATGCACCATAAGCTTACAATTCAGTGTAATATACTGTGCTGAGAAGCTATACCGACAATATTGTTGAGCTCCTCCTTTGCCTTTGAGTGCCAGCAGCTTTTAGGAGCTGCTGTGTGTTCATTAGAACCTCTGCAGGCGCAGCAACTCAGGGCACAGAGTTTATTCATGTCAGGTCACAGGTCTCCGAACACTTGCACATCCATCCCGCAGTTTTTCCTCCATCCTCCTTCCCCTCTCCACTCCACACTGCTGTCTCCAGACAATACAGTTACTACATCGGTACTAAGACCGTCAGTTCAGCTTTGTTCTTGTGTCCTCGCCCCCCTCCTCTCTGCTGTCTTGGGACATACATGGGGAGAAGAAGAGATAAAAACAGCAGAGGGGAGCAGGGCAAGGACATGAGACTGATCTTAGTGCTGATGTGTTATGTGTAGGGATGAACCGAAATTTCGGCCGCTGAAACATATGGGCCGAAAATGGACCTTTGGGCAAAATACAGAAACTGCCATAATTGGGCCGAAATTGCGGTGCATGCCTAGTTTCTCTCTTTCCTGCTGGGCAGGGACACAGCACAATGTCCAGTGGGGAGAAGAGAAACTGTCAGGAGGCCCAGCGTGGTGGGGTGGAGAGTGCTGTGAGCAGTCTGTGTCATATGAGGCTGAGCTCTCCTCCCACACCACCCCACTCAGCCTCCTGTGACAAATCAGGATGGAGAGCAGTGTAGGGGCAGAGACACCTGTCAAATGTCACAGGAGGCCAAATCCGGCGGTGAGGGGGAGGAGTCAGCTGTCAAATGAGACCAAGCTCTCCTCCCTGCCCTGCTGGCTAAGCCTCCTGTGAAAGCCGATCCAGGATAGAGAGCGGGTACAAACATTCAGCGATCAAGGATTGCTGAATGTTTGTAAATAACTGGACATAGTATGAGTTAATATTTACCAGTTATGAATTAATGGGAAGTGCTCTATATCACTTCCTATTCATTCATGATTAGTCACACTAGCTCCACAAGTTATGAATGAACAGGAACACTCAGTATAGAGGTTTCCAGTTCATTTATCCACTATCTCTTCTTCTGTTAAAAGGGAAATATCAGGGGTATTTTTAGACTTCTGATATTTTACCGAAGCCCCCAGCAGGAAAGTTACAAAATATTTCATAAAACAAATAAATAAGTAAAAAATAAATAAATATATATTTTTTTTAAAAGGTTAGAAAAAAAACTATTTTTATTTTCGGTTTCAAAATTTAATTTCAGTGCACCTCTAGTTATGTGTATTGTCTGGAGTCAGCAGTGTGGGGAAGGGAAGGGGGGGAGAAGGACAAACTGTGGGATGGATGTGCAAGTTATTAACTCTGATAGGATGTGCCCTGAACGTCTGCACAGGTTCTCATGGATGTGCAGCAGCTCCTACAAGCTGCTGTCACTCAATGGCAGAGGAGGATTACAACAATATTGTTGGTATAGCTTCTCAGCACAGAGCTTACCACCGCCTACAATATATTACACTGAATTGTAAGCTTATGATGCATTTTTGATTACAGGAGTACATTGTAAAATGTATTCCTGTATCATAAGGAAACTAAAAATGCAAAAAAAAGAAAAGGTGTACCTCATAGTTCTCCTTTAAGTCATTTTCTCTTGCAACACATTTTGCACTGCTACTCCCTCCCAGCGTGGACTCAGTAGCCTTCAAATTTCTGAATCATTAAGCAGTTGCTTTGGAAGGGAGAGCTGGATAAGCCAAGTTGCTTAAATATTGACTTGAATGACTTTAGCACTTCCGCTGTGAACTTTGAGGATTAATTACTTCACAGTGCAGTTTGCTACAGAGGTCAGTGATGACATGTTTTAAAGATCATTTATTGCTAGTTATGAATATTTTAATACTTACATGTCCACCTTGCCACAGGTTCAACTCACTGATGCATCAACATGTTCTTTACTGCACAATTACCTATTTACTATGTGCATATATGTTAGTTTAAACATTAAAAGCAGTCTTTGATGTCTTTCTCTCTCTCTGTGTCTATATATATATACTGTATATATATGTCAGTTTATTTCCTAATTTTTGGGAGTTCACTGCAACAATACTCCACATGGGATTTTTGGTGCAGAAGACATGGCAATTACATAGTGAACCCAAATGCCTACATTATATTTATAACCAAAAAGTTTTGAATAGGGTAGGAAAGGTTTGAAATATACCTTTTAAGGTAATGAAAAGATAATCATACGAATTACAAAACAGAGCTTTGTTGAAACAAATGAAACAAACTGCTCCAAAGTTATATATTCGGTATCTCCAAAATGGCTTTGTAAATTTATGTTAAAAAAATACATAAATAAAAAACACAAACAAGAACACAGTGCTATAATATTGCTCTTACTCTATTGTTTTTTCTTAACCTAAAGTGTACCTGTAAAAAATAAGTAAAGGCAACTGGACTTGCTGTATTTTTCTTCAAGACGTTTCACTGGTCATCCAACTGGCTTTCTCAATTCTGAATTGGTCATCCAACTGGCTTTCTCAAATCTGAATTGAGAAAGCCAGTTGGATGACCAGTGAAACGTCTTCAAGAAAAATACAGCAGGTCCAGTTGCCTTGACTTATTTTTTACAGATATACGATGACCTGAATGATTGAGACACTTCACAGACTTACCCTAAAGTGGTTTTCACGTATCGAGCCCCTGGCTAAAAACATCTTGTTGTTATCAGCTTTCATATGCTCATAGAAGGTTTCCTCCAGGCGGAAACTGTCCATAAGGTCACATCCAACGTAGAGGTTGAAGTTTTCACCCGTCAGCTGAACAGTAATATTCTTCCACTGAGAGTCTGCCAGGTCAACATCCTCCAAGGATATCACATTCTGAGTCCCTTCTATCCAATAAATTAGGTCCAGAGTATTGGCTCGTCCATTTGACTGAAGCTCAAACAGTCTGTTGGAAATGCCAGGGCCCTCTATAGAAAGAAGCGTCCCTCGGTTATGTTTGTCTTGTTTTATAGTGGCACTCAGAATAAAACCTTCATTTAGCTGCATCAGATGGATAATTTCCCTCATCTTTTCAGTTTTAACTGGGGGTATGTGATCAAAGCGGAGGAATCGATATGATGGAGAACTTGGATCATGTCCACGAAACATTTTGACGCCAATGGTCTTCTTATTTATATTACTAATTTCAAATAAATCAAATGTAGTCTCATCTTCACTATCTTGATCTAAAGTTCGAAAGAAATAGCAAGTTTAGTGCAATTTTAGTTCTGAAGTTTGTTCATACTTTTATATCTTAACTGTGAACATCTAATACATCCATACCTCTTGCATCAAGTTTTCATTACTAGAGTTTACTGAGGATTAATTTAATCAATAACACAACAAAACAAACTTTTAAAATCATTCAATCTTGTTATTGGTTAACAGGGCAATTAAATCACAAAAAAGAGGTTGCAGTTCCAATAAAAAATAAAAAGGCTCTATTGTGGGGTTTAAAGTGTCACAAAAAAAGACAAATGATAAACCAATATACAAATCAAGTAAATAATGAAAACAAAGTAGCACACCTGCTTACTATATCTTGGAGGCTTTGGATGAATGCTAGTTTTTAGCTTGCAGAAATCACATAGTCATTGGCTTTTTACTCACGTCTAAATTCTCACTGCTGGGTGCAGGAATTGATGCAGTATCAGCATTTAATAATAAACAGCAACAGTAGAAGAAAGATTAAATGCAATCTCTAAATTTTCTGAACCTATCTTTAAAATTCATCCATAGTACAGGCAGACAGTCCCTGGGGGGCCACTAACGATCCTTTCACATACAAAACATGTTTTCACTGGGTAGTGCAACCAATGTGTTTTACACGTGAAAACAGTTGTTAGTGGCGGGGGGGATTGGTAGCCTCTTGTAGCTGAATAGTAACAGTCGATTGTAGGTATAGTTGACTATTCTGCTACTGAGTGGAAACATTTATGATTACAGGTATTTCCCTCATAGTGGCCTTGGTTTCCTATATTGACTTAGAATGAGATGAGACCATTATAGCAACCCTGTTGGTACACAACAGTTACCACTACGTGCACTGCTGAACACCAGTCCGATGCTGTGAAATCTCCCCAAAAGTGCTCTGGGAAATTGGCACTTTTGGGCCTTTTCACTGATTTCTCATGCTAAGCTTCACATCACCACTGTCTCCTGCAGTGATGTGAAGGTCAGCAGAAGGAATGCGGGAGTGCTGACGGGGAACCCAGAAGATTGCTACGTCTGTGTCGGTTTCCCTGTTGACTTTGGGGACTGATTTTACAGCAGTAGAGCAGTGTTAAGCAGAGCAGGCAGCGGGAAAATTAAGTATTTACAGTTTTCTTTTACTTTGCTTACTTTGCTTATCTTTGCTTAGTAACGTTTGTAAAGAACAGGGTCACTTTAAACTATGCCCTCAAAGAATGCCACACACTGCATGTGCGTGCCGCATAAAGGTGTGCCCTTAGCTTTCATTTGTGCCTCCATTAAGGAGTCAATCCAATTGACTCTTGTGATAGAAGAGTGTGAATATCATATTATCATAACTTGGGGTTATTTAGGGCTCACATCGATGGGTATTCTCTTTAAACTGTGTTTTCCATTGGAACATAAACTCATGCTTTCAAATGGCAAATGCAGTGTTTGACAAGAAAAGGCTGCCTTTGACATGCTTTGTCTACAATTCAAACACACCTCAATTAAGACATTCAGGGCAAAAGAAACTTAGCACAACACAAGGCAAAACAGGTCAAAGGCAGCCTCTGAACTGACATGTGTCCTGCTCAACTAAAGTTCATGGGATTTTGGTGACATGTGTTTGATGTGCGTTCTAAACACATGTCAAACACAATAAAGCACTGCTTATTGCCATATTTTTAGCCCTTAAAATATGAGTAGTGCTAAACATCCTTAAAAGAATCAATAAAATATATTATTATTGTAGTAACAATAGTCTTACCTTGAGCATTCAGGGAAGCCCAAAAACAAAGAAAGATAAGAAGCCGCTCCAAAGTTTTCCGTAACATAACCCCTACAATACAAAAAGTGTTGATTTAGAACACCAGTAACAAAACTGCATCAAATTTACCAATTGTTTATATAAATGTACATAAAGTATTTTGATTATTTATTCTTTTTTTACATGTAGGACATTTGTAGACCATATATACCACCTTTTTCACACTTTTTATATAAGGGCCTAATCAAGCACCCCTGTCCCCTATGTACCTCTGGCACAACTGATGCCTAATAATAGTAACCTGTTGCTTGCAGTTATCAGCAAACAATAGATCGCTATTGCAGTGATCTGTTATTGCAGGGTGAGGAGAGGCAGGGCTTGATCACCTCACAAGCTTTCGAGCCCTCAAATGGCTGGTGTCATAGCTGATCACATATGCAGCACCATGGCAACTGCAGTCCGAACAGAGGCTAAGATGGCAACTTCCCTGGCTGTGAAGCCAGGTTCACACTCGGGTGATCCCGGGCCACGCGTTTGTGTGCGAATGCGTACAGTGTTTGCCACACGGCCCCATTGATTTTAATGGGGTTATATCTATGCCGACAATCACAGAAAAAAGGTACATGTACCTTTTCTGTGACACGCACTGCAGGGTGCATGATTGCACACGCGGAATTGCGGTGGAAAACCGCACAATTTGCTGGCTGCGATTGGAGTACCATTAGAAATTAATAGAAAGCGCAATCAGCGGTCGTGTGCGATTCTGTGACCGCGTGGCAAAATGCGCGGTTTCGTACATGATCACTGCGCGGTCAGGGAACTGGGCCTAAGGCATAGGAGGTTGTAGTTTTGCTTTAACATTTGGGAGGTGTTCAATTGTAATAGCGATGTCAATTATCACAATAATAACAATATTATTAAAAATTGTGTTAAGGATCCCAAAATAACATTTCCATTATTAAAATATAGAAAGACATAAAGCAGTGAAAGAAAGTACCACTTGGTTTGATTTATTAAAGGCAAATAGGCTGTTCACTTTGCAAGGGAATTTCCCCATAGCTTAAAAAATGAGGTGAAAATTTACTTTGCAAAGAAGCCAATCAAAAATAAAAGCTTTTGCATGCACATGAATGGATGATGAATGTCAGCTGAGCTTCACCTCATTCACTAAACTAAGGCTGGGCACACACCTTACAACCATCGCAAGACGGTTGTGGGGTTGCAAATCAAGTCTTTGTAAAGTATAACAGACATTGAGAGTAACATATTTATAGTATCTTTTTAAACACTCTGTGACGGCATTATGCCTTTTTAAAGCAAAACTCCAAACAATAACAGGATTAAAATGAATAGTCCATTGAAAGATAAAATAACAAAACCAGCTTTACTGCAATATTCACCTACAATCCAGAGATTTTCCCCACAGTATGTTTTTCTACTACTAAGATGTCCTTGGTCTAATGGCCAGCATCATTTAACCCTTGTGAGATTTAACTCCAAATGTGGAGCTTTCCAGGAGGTCAGTTCAGAAAACATATGTTTTAGGGCTCCTGCTCATTTTGTAAAAAAAAGTACCTTTGCAAAGTAAATCTTGGGCCTCCTGCCTAGTTCTGCCAGCTGGAAGGCCGACATATACCTACCCCTGGTCTAAGCAGACCGCTTAGACCAGGGGTAGGTAAACTTCGCCCCTCCAGCTGTTGTGCAACTACAAATCCTATTAGGCACTGCAAGACTCCCACAGCCACAGCTTCCAGAGACAGATGCATGATGGGATTTGTACTTTCACCACAGCTGGAGGGCCAGAGTTTGCCCATCCCTAGCTTAAACCCTCAGCTTGCTTTAGAACAGACAAAACATTTCCTCAGGCTTGTTAGAGTGCCTGTTTATAAGATCAGACAGGCCTTGACACATGCTCCTTGCGTGTCTGCCTATACACATGTGCTGCTCCTGCAGCAATCTTCTCTTGAGGAGGGAGAATTGACTAAATAGACTGATTCCCTTTTGTAGGGCAACATCCACCTCTCTCCAATGTGGCTTACACCTTTCACTGCTGAAATAGTACTATCTGCATCTTTAGACAGTGGTCTGTCACACCCATTTCCTCTGAGCCCAGGTTATCCTGGACATACCCAAGCCCGGATAATGAAACGAGGAGAAGCACTGTGACCTCATCTCCTATCAGAATGTTCCTTGTCAGCAGATTATCTGACCGGCTCCTTATATTACTCTCACACGCCAGACCTACTGTTCAGGGACTACATGAGGTCGATACCAGGTCAAATTCAGGTGCTTATACTGTTTGCATTGAAAAAATGCATGTGATGATGTATTCATGGTTACAGAGCCGTCTTAACCGCTTCCGGTCGGCCATTGTAATTAAACTTCTGGCCGGGAGCTTTTTGGATCTGAGCGGGCATCTAAAAATGGCCTGTTAGCTCCACCCACTACCACAAGCGAGTCAAAATTTTTAAACAGGCAATGATGCCTGTTTATATACAAGTGATCCAGCGGCTATTGAGCTGCCAGATCACTTGTATGAGGTGCCGGTCGGATCCTCCCCATCGCTGGTCCCAAGCTCCACTGTCCCCGGTGCCAGCCCGGAACCGGCACGGTGGCTCTGTGATCGGAGATCAGTACATGATCTCCCTCTAGGTCCACTCTCTGGTGTCAGAATGCAGGAAGTGATGTACATTACATCACTTCTGCATTCTGCTCTCACTCTCCGGCTTCAGAAGCTGGAGAGAAGCTGATGAAGCAGATATCTGCTTCATCAGCTTCTCTGGGGGACCCTAGGTGACATTAGGGGTCTTAAAGACCCCTGATATCTCCATAAAGAGGACCTGTTATAATATCTCTGCTATGACATAGGGGACTTCTTAGCCCCCTATGTGATAACAACAAAGTTAAGTGGAAAAAACAATAGGAAAAAAAATGTAAGTTGCAAAAAAAAATTATTAAAGTCACACATGAAAAAGAATTAAAAAAACACAAACATTTTTTTAAAGTCCCCACCACCACATGCACGCATGCAAACATGCGTCAGTTGTGTATACTTGCAAAAACAGTGATTGCGCCCATTACATCACACATGTTACATATCACCGCGAACGTCGGAGCGAGAGCAACAATTGTAGGGCCATTATTCACTGATAACACTAAACCGATGAGCGGTAAAAGCTTTTAAAGCATCGCCTATGGTAAATTTTGGGTACGGTAGTTTTTTGCGATTTCGCGGTTGTAAACAAGCAATTTTAAGGCTTGACATGCTTGGTGTCTATTTACCCAACGTGACCCCGTCTTTTATATTTTACAAACAAATTGGGTAATAATAATTGTATTATAACATTATGTTAAAAAAAACTGTTTTTTTCCCTAAATGTTCGGTAATTTTTTCTCAATGTAGTAAAAAAATAAAACCCGCAGTGGTGATTAAATACCACCAAATGAAAGCTCTATCTGTCCCCCAAAAATGGTATGAAATGTATTTCAGTACAACGTTGCATGACTGAATAAACGTCAAAGTACCACAGCGCTGAATATTGAAAAATGGCCGGCCAGGAAGGGAGTTTAACACCTGGAGGGGAATTTATCAAAACTAGAGCAGACAGAATCTGGAACAGTTGCCCATGGCAACCAATCAGCATCTGTCTTCAGTTTGCTCAGGTAAGATTTGAAAATGAGACAGAGAAGCTGATTGGTTGAAGTGAAAATCTGCTCTAGATTTTGTCTGCTCCAGTTTTGACAAATTCCCTTCTGTGTCTTTAAGTGGTTAATTTGTGTCTTTTATATAAGCCTAGAGTTGAGGTTCACGCCATCACACATAAGGCCTCGTGCCGCCACAAAGTTAGTCAACGGTAAAGTCAAACTCCAGAAACAGTGATTTGTATTCTTTTTAAACTATAACTCTTTTTTTGAACTCCTGTTTTAGCAGTATTACATATCTTACCTATATAGGTGCATTTAAAGAAGAGCTCTGTGTAGAAAAAAACTAACCCTTACAGCAGGGCTACCCCAACACTGCAAGGGTTAAGTGCTTGTTTTGTCTAGGGAGCTCAAATAAAGAAGTACCTGACCCTCTGTCCCACGTCGGTCCAGGCTCGCCTCTCTCCAGTTGTGGAATGTCCATCTGCGTCCTCATATCTAATGCAGGTGAATAGACCTAAATAAGACATAATGAGGTCAGTCTACCAGGGCCTGGGGGAGAAGAGGCTGTGGGGACCTGTCTAGCAGCCAAGAGGGACCGAGGATCAGGTGACTACATTTTTTTAGCCCCCTCGACAAAATGAGCATCTAACCCTTGCAGTGCAGGGTAGACCCACTGCAAAGGTACGTTTTTAGTTTTGCTGGAGTTCTTCTTTAAACCACACTGAGCAGCTGCCTAAATGTACAGTGACAGCTTACTGGCTCCCAACCACATCAAAACAGTTTCTATTACAGACAACAGTTCTAGTGTTGTTACTATGCCTCCTCTGCAGCTGTGCTTGTAAATGACTACGCAAAGGGAGGGGGGCTTATGCACACCTATATAAATAAGATAGTCAACACTGTTAAAATGGGAGTTATAGAAAAAAATATATGTTTAAAAATGTTAACAAGCCCCTATGTGATAGTGTTTGGAGGTGACAGGTTCTCTTTATGGAGACATATGGGGTCTATTAGATTCCTGCCCTACATACACTCAGACAATGAAGTACAGGAATGTGCTTGACCACCTGTGTAGCCAGCACTTCACCAGCTAATGACAGCACTGAAGCAGAAAGAGCTGTGAGCATAGTATGCTCTGCTTCACTGATCGCAGAGATCAGGGAATGAATGTTCCTTGGTCTGCTCCTGCTCTCCATCCTGACATTGTTTGCCGTGGTTCCGGGCCCCTCAGAGGAGTGGGGGACCCCGCAAAAAAACATGATTAGCAAGCTGCTAAAAGTGATCTGGGTGGCTGTAAAGTCAGCTGCTTATAAGCTGGCAATTGCCTTTGACAAGAAATCAGCTGCAACCACATTCGACCTTCCTTAGTAAGACAATTATGGTAAAATAAGCAAAAGGCTTGAAGAGGACATCAAGGAACAAGTGCT